AGATGAATGTAAGCAGTCTAGATGTTTGTGTACAATTAGTCCCTTGGTATTTTTGTTTTCACTTAAAAAACACCCGACAGCTATATCAAGAGCTCTAATGAAGCTAAACATATCAGTGGTGAATTCAAGGTTGGCAAAAAAATATAGAATGTTTCTAACCAGGCATGGAATCATCTTGCCTGTACCTAAAACTTCAGGTAATTTCTAGTGCATACCCCTGGGAATGTATCCTCTTTCCCACTGGGCATCCGGGGATACAATTCTGTCATTCTCCCATTGCATCACTCATGCATGCTTTCAAATAGAATATTGTACTATATTGTTTGGCATAGCTGACTTAAGACGTATAATTTGAAGGAAAGAAGTTATGGCCATGAAAACTTGTGTATGCCGGGAGTCTCGGCAATAATTAATAAATTTATATGACTATCAGTTAATTGTTGTTTTATCATGTTGGTTGGTGCTGTAGTAATAAATGCATCATTTTATGCAAGAAACAGCAGCATTTTTGGATCAAAGGTTACTCCAGAGATGGCTCGGACCGACAGGAATTTTTCCAGCATGCTTAATTTACAGGAATACGCATTTGTCCCACAAACAATAATCAATAGCCCATTATCAAAAAAATTGTGGTGGTCACTTTTACACTAGGAGGAATTTACACTCCCAGGACTTTTCAGTTATCACCAATTAAAAGCTTCCTTTCATAAGAATTGTAGGGCACTCAATAGAATTTGTAGGACTTGGCGAAATGTGTCAGCAACATATTTTTAAAATCATGTATAAAATATGCAACCAAATACAGTATATCAGAGCAGAAACTCTGTGGGGGAGCAAAACCCCAGCATTCTAGGAATTTGCGTGATATACAGTATGCTAATTATAATAATATAATATAATAATATGTTGTTCTTATATAGCGCTTCATGCCTTTACAAGGCCTCTAAGCGCTTCACATTACTAACCCGGTCATTGGATCAAACACATATGGAACACATTGAAACACCAAATTAAATTAGTAAATGAAATTATATTGTCATTCCATAATATTGCAGCTAGTAATCAGCGCAGGTTGTGTTGGAACCTACCAGGTACCCACTTGTACTCCTGGGTGGAGAGAGGCAACCGTAGATAAAGTGCCTTGCACAAGGACACAAGCGCACAGCCAGAGTTTCGAAACCCCCGACCTCAAGGTTGGGAGTCAAAGCCACAACCGGTGCGCCAACCGCTCCTATATACCGACTACATAGATTCCAGGCATATGATTGGTTAAAAACCAGGTAACAGTTCCAGCCATGCCCTCCTAGCTGGTCAGTAGGCCAATCTATGTAGTGGTATATATATTTTTAAAAAAAATTTACTATGATATTAATCGGATCATGGTTCAAATTATAGCCCTTAGTGATGTGGAGGTGTACTACGTCCCTTGCATCCAAATCACTTTGGGCTATAATTTGAACCATGCACCTCAACCCAGTAAATATTGGTATACCATACAATGTAACCAATAGGACAACAACAATTCACAAGTAAGTCTTTTCAGTCTTTTCTTTTAATTTTATTGGCCACTATCAACTGCAGCAAATTTAATCCACTAGATGAGAAAATGACGGACAATATGTGCTTCCCATCCCCTTCCCCTCCTCTTCCCTTCCCCTCCCTTTGGAATACTGGCTGCTGCAACCAGCAACTGTTGAATCCAGATGGTCATTAGCCGACGTGATTCTATGGATAACACAATGCAACGGATATTTTATGAGGATCCATTCAGACTGCTGCAGACAATCAGCTGAAAGTGTCACTTTACCGAACACTCGTAGTGAGCGCAGTGGGAGTTGTCATCGGCCGTTGTATGATGCAGTGAATGCCCGGCTTTAAAATAGTGCATTAGATTCCCATACTACCACACTTCTACACTCCTTACAATACACACCAGCAAAATGTTCATGATGGTAGCTAATAGTAGTTGATCTTTCATCGTCGTCATAAATTATGCGCAAGTTGTGAGGCTTCCTGAATTAATTCATCCATGGACGTGAATTTCTTCTCGCCAGTATTCAAGAGGTGAACTTCAAACATTGGTTCATCTTGTAAAAGCTAAATTTAAGATAGAAAATCTTGTATTCATACACAAACCATACAGTTAAACGTGCAAGATCATTAATTAAATTGCATATATTTTTTCGAAAACGTACACTACACAGATGTTAAGGTGTATGTAATATGTATCTAAGTTTTAAAAATAAAAAGGTGCACCTAAAATATTTGAGATATTTAGAGTACAAATTTCATATACAGTATACCTATGTAGTAATATACAGTATTGAAAATTATACAAACACCAGTCCTGTTCATTTCATGTCTAAAACTTTTTCGTGCGCTGGCCATCCGGTATACTTTATATGCTGTCAGTACAACGAGGTTAGACACATTTTTTTATTCTTAAGATGAATTTAAGTAATATGATATTAATTATGATATGATATTAATCCTAGATATCCAAGAAAAAAATTACTAGGTGTTTCGTTAGTCAATTTTATTAGTACTATCGGTGTATAATGGATATTACCAAAATAGTATAGGAAATAAAGAGAGCGTAAATACACAATACTCCCCTGTATGCAGCTATGTTCGGTTGTAACTTTTAGTTACCCAGTAGTGCTCAGCACAACCACAAAATACAGTTCCTTTGTAGAGGGCAATAGTTAACTTAATGTTACTATTTTAGAAACGAATGCATTTTAATATCTAATGTGGACGCACTTTATGACGACGGTGTCCACTTTCATCCTTACTAGGGAATTGACATATTTTGGAAATAGGAACATGCTCTCTTTAGTTAATTCTATACTCTTTCATATTACACACAAAATATATACTTACCCCTTTACCACATACTACTATCAATGGGTAACCAAGGCAATAAGCGTTGTTCAAACGCTTTCCAATACTTAAATTTTGTCTATCATCCAACACTATCTCTCCTTTCAAGCAACTGACATCTGTGATTAGTTTGTCATGCAATGTCAAACAAGTAGATGTTGCACTATCTTCCTTTGATCCTTCCTGCAAAAATACATTTTCAATTTAGATAATATATGTAAAAAAATATTAAAAACCCTATCATCATATTTCATCTTTTTTTACTATAGGTCTAGGCCCTACTTATAGCTCACTATCAGTCACCCTGCAGCACTCTGGCTAGAAAAATCGTAGCCAATGAGGTAAATGCATAATATATGAAATTAATTACGTAAAGCATGAAAAGTTCCTATAAAAAAATCATTCAAGTATTTCAAATACTTTTTAGTCTAGGCACTTAGTTATAGTTGTAGAGTAAATCTAGTTTCAGAGTTCAGAATTCAAAGAGTAATTATGGGATACCATTGCATAATAACAAGCTAAAGCAAAAACTATAGAATTGCAGGAGATCCAAATGTTGAAGTTCCCTTGAAACGGAATCACATCTCCAGCAGTGAACGCATGCTCCCACTTGAAGCCTATATTTGCTATATGTTTGGTTGGTTGTGCTTGGGTAACACAATGGTATTTTTCAACATTATACTAGTACAAATTTGTTTTTTCTATCAGTGATTAGTAATTAATTTAAATTAGGATTTACATATTGACATATTGAAGGCAACTTTGCCCATACCTGAATAACAGATAATAATAATTTGTAAATTTAATTTACATCTATTTACCTTTGGTAGAATGATGCAGATCTGATAAGGGGCAATGGCATTAGGCCACCTGATCTCAGTGTCAGTTGACAGTACCTCAATGGCGGCAGCTACAATTCTAGTCACACCAAGTCCATAGCACCCCATCTCTACCAGTCTAAAGACATAATAATGATTTTTTTTTCCTTTTTAGAGGCCTTTTGATTTTAAATATCTGCCTTCTGAGAGGCTTCAATGATAACTACTGAATAAAGAAATAAAATTTGAATACCGTGAATATAAAATTTAACATATAAACAATAGGTTTTTTTATCTAAAACAAATCAAGATGCATAGTTTGGTTAGGATGGTGTATGTGGATTACCAGAACAAAACTGCGGTGTAACAGTTAGGATGGTATATGCGGATAACTACGACCTTAGCAGAGTAATGTCTTTATCCCTGGATACATAAAAAGTTCAACTGAACATACAGCCAGTCTCACATCTTGCGATTTTGCTTATGATTGTTCAACATGCTATGATATCATTTGACTGTCAGTGTCAATGTGTCGTATACGTAAATCCTTTCACACCATGCCTCAAGTTCTACGCACCAGACAATTTTAGACTGAGTATGCCACAGTGCAGCTTGTAAGCAAAAATTGCAATGTTTGCAACCGGCTTAAGGTTGCAGTGACTTACTGTGTCTGCTGCTTGTCATTTCTAAACTGAGTGTTAAACACTTCCGAGTATTTTTTGCCAAGGTAGAATGCATGCCCAACTTCAATTCCTTTTGCCTTTATCATCCCACAATCTGCACTAGCTTTCTTCATAGCACATTCTGGTTGGCCATTCACTGTAAGATAAAACTGAAGATAAATTTAGCTATCAGGAAAGAAAATATGTTCAATATTTTCAATTGGAGTTTCTCCTTCTCATACTGACATCATAATCTTTACTAGCTGCTTTAAATGTAAAGATGTAGGTCCTGTGAATGGGCGCAATACATAGTGTAGCTTTTTTATTTTTGTCAATCTATCCAATTATTGCTGGCAAAATGCCTATCAAATTGTTCCCCTCCCCCCTCACAGAATTAATATCTTGCAACTTATTCTTCCTGGGCCACGCAACGTGCTGATCCCAGAGCCTCACTGCAGTTCTTGTTACCAAACTTTAAAATCGTCCAGCGTCGCCGGTTTTGAACGGAGTTCAGTGAGTTCGAATCACACCTTAGTATTCAATTTTTTTTTCCAATTTTAAGATATTTTGGGTTTTTTTTCAATTTTAAGATATTTTAATTTTGTACAAATGAACATTCTAAATAATATATTTTTTTGTACAAATAAACATTCTATTTATTAAAAAATTTCTATGTTATTAGCTCTTCCAAAAAACCCAATACGATTACTTGCGCCTGTACTGTATTTAAGTGTGGAGGAACACGTGAACTGGTGAGCAGTCACTCTTGTTCATATGATCATACTTGTGTTATTATGGCTTTTTGTTACAGTCTCAATTATTGTTAACCTTGCATATGATTAACCTCACCTGTAGTTTCAACATTAGCACCATGCCCACACTCTTTGCAGGTGTAAACCTCATCTTCTCCCATTGATGACAGAAGATGGAACTCATGAGATAGACTTCCCCCTATTGCACCCGTATCACCTTTCACTGAAGAAAAGAAAAAAAAACTAAAGTAAAAAAATTATTCTTTTATAATTTCTTTCACATCATAAAACCAAGTACACTCACTACTCACAACAATGAATGGAGATTATACTACTGTAAATTCATACATTTGAGGGTGTTCATACAAAACTACAAAGGCATGTCCTTTGATGATGCTAGCCCAGCATTTTTATACTCAACTGTAGAGTCCTAAAGTTCTAAAGGAAATATTAGGTGAGTCTAGTGGCTGAGTAGTAAAAACTAACTGCGCTGGTTCAAGCCATTCCAGCTCAGCCAGTGTTCTGTTGGTAAAACCAATTCTTCTCGGATAAGGATTTAAAATGAAGGTCTAGTGAACACATTTGGCTTGTGTGTACATTAAAGAAATCATTGCATCTTTCATGAAAAGTAGGGGGTTAAACCTGATTCTATGGTTCATTTCAGCCCCTGTCGTTGGTGTGAATGATGCGAACATGAAACTACTATAAGTGCCTGTTTATGGCGGCTAGGCAGTCACGGACCACGCCCATACCCAATTCAGCATAATGATGCTGCAAGTTATGGGATATTCTCCTAACTTTACCTTTATATTGCTGCATTTCGTACAGAAGAAGCCTCCTCTTTTAAATGTATTGCACACCTTAGTGAAGTGCAATTTTAGAAATTTATATTCTTACCTTTAACATAATCCAGTTGTAATCTATCAAAAAGACTGGCATATGCATCGCAAACTGCTTCATAACATAGCATAGCACTCTCAATACATGTATCAAATGTGTACAGATCTGAAAAACAATACTAATGATAGTTTAAAGATTACTGATTGTGATGATGATAATAATACAGTACTAATAAACCAAACAGGTTTAATGTCAGTCAATCTGAACATAAATTATCCAAGGTGCAAAAACATACCAAGAAGGTAAAGGTAGAAGATAACCTGTGGCTTGCAGCTGTAACTAGGCTGTATTGCGCATGGCGTCGAATACCTTATTCAACAACTTTCTGCTCTCCTAAGGGTCTCAATACGTTCAATCATCTGCCAAGAGGCACAGTTTCGTCTGTCCACAATGACAGGGACAGAATGGGCCAGTACACCAGTGTAACCCAGTAATCTTTTCGAAGGATGTCTTGGGTTCATTAAAGTGCACACAAGCCAATTGTTTTCACTGGGCATACGGTATAGAGTCCTTATAAGAGAAGACTTGTACTACCACCAAAACCATAGGCGAGCCTGTGTTTGAACCAGCACCGATATTATGGCTGTAGTTTGCGGCACCCCTGCCTTAACCGCTCGCCCATTCGTCTTGCCAAAGAGTAAAATTTAAGCTCAAATAAATTAAGAGTTGGTAAGTTTGTTTGGTTACACCCAAAAGATGAAGAAGAAAAGGGCCAAAGTCTGTTGGTAATACAGTTTCATTTCAGATTTTTTAAGATTTAAATACTGTTATACAGTTATTTCAGCTTTTGCTATTACAGTATTTAATTCTTTTCGTTATCCTTAAAAAATAATAAATGTACAGTGGTCCTAACTTAAAAGAATCAACATCCAGGAGAACTTTATAAATGAGATTTCTTAACACATCTGATTATATATTGCTGTGCATGGGGATGAACTTTCGGGGGACAATTGATAATACAGTATTAAATACTGGTAAAAACATGCAAATATTGTGGATTTGCAGGAGGTGGTTATTTTCCAGGAGGTTCTTGTTTGCCTGCATGAGTGCGGGAGGCCTTCCCAATTTCCCACGACTTGCGGGAGACTTGAGACTCCTGAGTGATGACCTTCTTCACTGACCTTTCATCAGGAATTCTCTTGCTCTCAGTAAGCCGTACCTTGGTCTCCTCTCATCCCGAAATTTTTGAGTAATCTGAAGATTGAGTAAAACTATTTTAAGTTTAAAACATATAATATTATTTTCTTTTTTTAAATATATATTAGAAAATGTTTATGTCACAGTTTCTGTGCATAAATCTCTGTTATTCAACCATTTTTTTGTTTTTTATTTGTGAATAAAATGGTGAGTTATTACAAATATGTTGAGCATGAGGGTTAGCATCATAAAATATAGATAGTGTGCACAACATTTTTAAAAACAGAATTTGAAAATGCTCTTAATGACGGCCATTTTTTAAGATACTTACCTGATAAAGCCTTAAGGGAAGGTTTCTGTACGACAGGTTTATATCTGCCGCAACAAGACTTGTAATCGCTTCTTCATGAGTCTTTGAGAAAAAAAAAATTGATAAAAAAAAAGTAAATAATCCTATGGTTCACAATAAAACAAATCCTAATCCAGTGATGAAGATAAAATAGTAGATTGTAAAGAAGGAAAGAAATGAAGAGGGAAGGGTAAGAGAGGGAAGGAGGAAAAATCAAATGATGGATGAAAAAGTTGAGGGAGAATTAAGGCTGATGGATTGACAAAGCATGAGCAGACACAGTGCAGAAAAGGCAATTCTTATGGAAGAAGAGTAATGAAAAGGGGGAGCCAAATGATGAGGAGGATAAAGGGAAGGGAAAGAAAATTGGTACGGAAGATACATCATTACCCTTAGTGATGCTTCAGAAAATATGTAATAATTTTAATCATTTTTAAATAAATTTATCTGGTTACATTTTAATAATTTTTAAACAATAAGCAAACTGAACTTACTGGACTTAAACAATGATCAACATCATGACGATCTTTCAGTTTGAATAATTCTGAACCCATTCCATCCCACCTTCCTGGTGAGAAATAAAAAGAGATAATGAAATATAGAAGACATCCTTCATATGCACATGGTAGTTTTAAAAAAACTTAAAACACAAAATAAATTATAAATTGTTAATTTTTTCATACATCTATTTTGTATGATGCTAATAATTATTACCAGTAGCAGAATACCAAATAGTAATGGAAATATCAATAATAAACAGGGAATGCTGCCGGAGAAGTTTAGAAGTATAGCATGATACAAATTGCATATATTATACCTGGATATGATATCCTAGTAAACATTTACAAGGTCTCCCATACATTCCACATTTAAAAATCTTGGGCAAGATTTTTTTATACCTTGTTTAATATGGTTTAATGAACCCTCTAACCATCAAAAATGGTGATTTTAAATAAAAATAAAATTTTATATTACATTTATTACATTCTCTGCTCCCCTGAGATATATATATATAAATATAAAGCATTTATTAATCTCAATGATTAATTCATTAATAAAATTTTATTTTTATTTTCTCCTCTGTCTAGATGGTTTTGTTTGACAAAATTATTTTGCTAAATGAGGAAACAAAATATTATTTTCATTTTTTGTCTGCCGTCTTGTGACGATAAAAACCAATAGGTTTGCGCAACAAGGTAAAAAATTTCTCGCCTTAAGACCACCATTATTCACAGACAGGGAATGCTGCTGGGAATAGACGCGAGTTGTTGAATCACAGATGATAAAATTTGCATATACTCTATTATACCTGGATATATGGTACACCCTAGTAAACCTTTGAAAGTCTCTATTAGACCACCGTTTATGTGGTCTAAAATTGTAGAAAAAATGTTCAAAAAATAATACTTTCTTTTTTTAAGATTACTTTCTATTTTACCATATTAGAGACCATGAATCAAAACTTCAAGCCATTAAAAGTAGTCATTTATTAATATGAGTATATTTACTAGACAATAATGGTTTTTTTTTTAAATTTTCAACATTATATTTTTATTCCTGTCCATTTTATTCATATCACAGCACATAGAATACTAACCAGACTTTTTCCAAAGTGCTGCAGACCCAAGGGTTGGCATTACCATCTTCTGCGCTCCAACTGCTGACATATGTTCATCCACTAACTTGGTCAACTTCTCTACTGCCCTCATGGCAAATGGTAACACATGATAGATACCCGGATCAGCCTGTCTGAGTAGACCCTTCTCTATCATCAACTAAAGTAAACAAAAAATTACAAAATTGCAACACACACAAAAGCTGAAAAAAAATAATTTATTCTTCAGCAATATTACATATAAAAGTATTCAGTGCTCCAGTCGGCTCTGAATGATGAATAATTCATGATCATCTTAGTTACTACTAGTCATTACCTATCCTGTTAAAATATCAAATCCTTTTCCCATCAGTAAAACCAATTATTTTTCTAATCTACAGTAAACTCTTTCAAGCATAGGATGTAGTTTCTATTGTCTTTCCCATTTTACATTTTATACTTAGTCCTTGTGAAATATCTGTATTGATTATGTAATTAAATACAATTGCACATTTTTCTGTTTTTAACCAATTAGGTAGAATATATTTCTAAAAGATGTAAACTTTTTTTAATGTTCCATATAGATACCAATTGCATAGTAATATAGAAATAATGTAAATTGCTGAAAGTAATTTACCATGAATTAGTCACAAGGAAAGGACATGTAGATTGCTAGTTAAACTGCTTGCCTTCTAATTTTAGGGTCCTGGGTTCAATTCTTGTCAAAAGTTTGACAATTTTTTTTTACAATCAAAACAACTTCACATCCCAAGCATCCTAATAACACATAGTGTAGCATTGCAATTTTTTTTTTATATTGGCATTTATGTTGTTGCACCTTAATGTAAACAGTACTAGGGGAGATTTCCATCCGATAAAAACATGAACGGTATGTGAAAAAAGGCAACTTGATTTCTTGCTTCGAACAATGAATCCATTCATTAGAAGTCATATAAAGGTAAACCTGTCTGAGAGTGCACTCTAGGGTGTTTGAAATTATCTCCGACTGAAAATTAAACAAAGACTGAATTATGTTAATTATATAACAAGTATACAGAGACTAGACCATAAACATAAACAATTATATTTAAAAACATAATTAATGTATGTGTAAGTAATCTGTTGTAATTATAAATAAAATAACGTAATATATGAAAGAATAAAGGAGGAGGAAAGAATAGGAAAGAAACTCGGAGTGGCTGAAATATATACCAAAAATATACAATAATAATCTCTATGTCATCATTGCATTACGTTGTCCGTTGTCTTAAAAATTTGAAGGCACTAATCGTCAGGTCATGGTGCTGGCAGCCTACACATTTCATAATTCGAAAATTTTATTAATTTTAC